CTATATTGATAATAACGCTATATTGATATGCCACTATATTGATAATAACGCTATATTGATATGTCACTATATTGATAACGACGCTGTATTGATATGTCACTATATTGGTAACGACACTATATTGATAACGACGCTATATTGATAATAACGCTATATTGATAACGACGTTATATTGATCGTACCTGCGGTGCCGTTGTAGCCGGTCACCGTGAGCTCGTACTGGGACTCCGCGTTGCCAACACTGAAGGTCGAGTAAAGCGCAAAGCGACTTTCTCCTTCAAAGTCCTGCATATCGACTCGCAGTTCCACGGCTGGGCTCGTGAGCAGGTGCATCATGGCGTTACCTGCGATTTGAGACACAGGTGAGACACGGGTGAGGCACAAGTGAGACACAGGTGAGACACAGGTGAAAAAACAGATGAGACACAGGTGAGACACAGATGAGACCCAGGTGAGACCCAGGTGAGACACAGGTGAGACACAGGCGAAGCACAGGCGAGACCAGGGGTGAGACATAGGTGAGACAAACAGGTAAAAAACAGATGAGACACAGGTGAGACACAATTGAGACACAAGTGAGTCTTAGGTGAGACACTAGTGAGACACTGGTGATACACTGGTGATACACTGGTGATACAGAAGTGAGACAAACAGGTAAAAAACAGATGAGACACAGGTGAGACACAAGTGAGACATAGGTGAGACACAAGTGAGACACTGGTGATACACAAGTGAGACACAGGTAAAAAACAGACGAGAAACAGGTGAGACACAAGTGAGACACAAGCGAGACATAGGTGAGACACAGGCGAAGCACAGGCGAAACACGGGCGAGACACAGGTGAGACATAGGTGAGACACAAGTGAGACGCAGGTGAGACACAGGCGAGACATAGGTGAGACACAGGCGAGACACAGGTGAGACACAGGTGAGACACAGGTGAGAAACAGGTGAGACGCATGTGCGACATGTGTGTCGTTCGACCGTACCTAGCCAGTATTCGGATGAAGGGTGACCGAATCCAGCTGCGTAGTCGTCCCATGTACGATCGTAAAAATCAACAGAGCCATCTGATCGCCTCTGAAACACCTGCAAGTCGTAGAGAAACACGAAAGGGGCAAATGGTTATTTTCGGGACGCGGAATTGGACCGTTTTGATCTATCTGGGAAGCGGAAAATACCGGATAGATGATACGAACTTTCCCGCATATCGCGAGCAGAGTCAGCGCGCTCTGGTGCTCGCAGCAAACCCTACCGTCCAGCCACCTCCGTCAGTGATCATGTCGCAGTAGACGGCTACGATGGCGCCTTCGCCTGGTTCGATGAGGTAAACGCCGCTAGATGGCGTCGTATGTCTGCTATCGGTTCTGATCTCGGCGCAATCATTAGCGAAGCTGTCGCTAGTAAAGCCTGCGAAATCACCATGACAACGGAGCTCAGCGGCGTCACACGTGCGACGTATTCGATATGATTACATATAAATAAATAACCGAATAAATTTATGATGAATTAATAAATGCGTTGAACACTAAAAAATTAATGAGCAAATAATTAACAATTTAAACACGCATTTTCATCGTGATAAATATCGAGGTCGTGCATATATAATGACAGCAAAGTATATTATTTGTTCACCAACGTTAGCAGTCGGTTGTGATTGCATTCGTTATAATTCAAATGTGATTACAATCCGTGTCCGTATCAAGCTGTCGCTTTTAACAAACTGAATTTACATGTGTTCTCGCATTAGCTGTAAGTTAACATGATGCGTCGATGGTATCGCATCCAGTAACTTCATAAACAGTTTCGTCAAAATACTAAACCTATGCTATAATTTCCGCGCAAGAGTTTTAACGTGTTATATGCAGGTATGCCGCCGATATTCTGTGGGAATTATCGAGACAATGAAAGTTTGCCGACCCGTCGAATGGCGGAAAAATGGTGGAATACTCAACCATTCTATATAGTGAGGCAGAATTGTGGGTGGTTTTGTGATGAAAGCGGCAAAATTGGAATATAGGATGTTAAGGGCATACTAAATGATTTCAGATATAGTGTAACATGTTTTTTGCACGTGTTACATGAATTAGTCAATGGAGCTAGACTACTAGTTGTTTTAGTCATAGTCTA